GGATTGATTAAAGGATTGATTGAATGATTGATTGAATGATTGATTGAATGATTGATTGAATGATTGATTGAAAGATTGATTGAAGGATTGATTGAATGATTGATTGAATGATTGATTGATTGAATGATTGCTTTTTTAAGGATTGATTGATTGATGAAAGGATTGGTTAAATGAATGATTGAATGAATGATTGAATGAATGATTGATTGAAGGATTGATTGAAGGATTGATTGAAGGATTGATTGAAGGATTGATTGAAGGATTGATTGAAGGATTGAGTGAAGGATTGAGTGAATGATTGATTGAATGATTGATTGAATGATTGATTGATTGAAGAATTGCTTTTTGAAAGGATTGATTGATTGATGAAGGGATTGATTAAATGAATGATTGAATGAATGATTGATTGAAGGATTGATTGAAGGATTGATTGAAGGATTGATTGAATGATTGATTGAAGGATTGATTGCAGGATTAATTGAAGGATTGATTGAAGGATTGATTGAAGGATTGATTGAAGGATTGATTGAAGGATTGATTGAAGGATTAATTGAAGGATTAATTGAAGGATTGATTGAATGATTGATTGAATGATTGATTGATTGAATTTTTGATTGATTGAATGATTGAATGGTTGATTGATTGAATGATTGATTGATTGAATGATTGCTTGAGTGATTGTGTGATTGAGTGTTTGATTGAGTGATTGATTGAATGATTGATTGAGTGATTGAGTGATTGATTGCATGATTGATTGAGTGATTGAGTGATTGATTAAAGGATTGTTTAAATGAATGATTGAATGAATGATTGAATGATTGATTGAAGGATTGATTGAAGGATTGATTGTAAGATTGATTGAAGGATTGATTGAATGATTGATTGCATGATTGATTGAATGATTGATTGATTGAATGATTGGTTGAGTGGTTGAGTGATTGAGTGTTTGATTGAGTGATTGATTGAATAATTGATTGAGTTATTGAGTGATTGATTGAAGGATTGATTGAATGATTGATTGAAGGATTGATTGAAGGATTGATTGAATGATTGATTGAGTGACTGATTGAATGATTGAATGAGTAATTGATTGAGTTATTGATTGAGTTATTGGTTGAGTTATTGATTGAATGATTGATTGAATGATTGAATTAATGATTGAATTATTGATTGAATTATTGATTGATTATTGATTGAATTATAGATTAAATTGACTGATTGTTATATTGAATGTAATTGATGCCTTATTTTACGTGCCAGCCTCGTTCATAAGGCCCGCTTTTCCGTTTGACCTCGCAAATTTTGCTATGCTCTTTTCACCAACTAGCGAAGAAGGGAGGTACTTCTTTGGGTGAGAAACAAGCGAATTTAGCTCAGAGGCGTCATTTAGTCTTGAGGATCTTATACGTGCAAGTAAATCTACTGACATGGGTCAGCAAGATATACTTCCCCTCCGAAGGAAGACGTATGATGGATTTTTTCGCCGTTGATAATCCACGGCTTCGATAGGGGTTTGAACACGCTAATGTGGGTATAACAGTCAAATTATAACTGTGCGCTTTCCTTACAAAGTCCCAGTAGCTTTTGCTGATGAGAACGCCTACTCTAAGGTTGGGAAGATCCTGTATATACGGTGGAGAGACGTTTTCCTGCTACTCACACGCACGCGTTATTGCATGGCCGAGAGGCTGGGTCACAGCTCGTCGAAGAAGACCCGAATCGGGCTGTCGAGACCAGGAACAGGAGTGAAGAGGAATCTCCCACAGTAGGTACCGCCCCGTTAGCGGCCTCTTGAATTATATATCCATAGGATGTCACTAATACTGGCATTGTTTTATAAAATGTATAGGTCCCGTGAGTCACCACAACGCGTTTTATTTACTTGAGAAACGGAAAACAAAGTTTTTAAAGAAATTTATTACAATTATCTAGATGGAACTGCCAAAAATGAGCAGTTCTCTGCCAAGAAATTGCGTGAAATGACGCCTCATTTGCCTCATTTATCGGACCGGAAGTGGTCTAACATGAGTAACGGACGGGCAGGCGAGCGAGGTTACTCCATAATTGGGTTACCATGCGTTTCGTTTCCCCGGACATGTCCTGTTTTTGAAGAAAGAAATACTGTTCGGGTGGATTTTACAAGTAAGGGCGAAATGTCCTACCTTTTATTGGAAAAGTTATTACTTTCAAATGTATTGAAATGTATTCAAATGTATTCAAAAGTATTACTTTCATATGTAACCTAGACTATATGTGCGAAGGATATGGCGTTTTTTCAAGTTTTTCGAGTCCCCGACATCATAAATTTCACTGCTGTATAAATAAATGACATATAACTTCACCTTTCTCACATAACAAGCGCAAACATTCATGCATAAACTATAACTACATGCGGTCATTAATTACTCCATGAAATACGACAGTGTTCCCATGAGCTGGTACAACATATTGTGTGCTGGTGCAGGTTACAGGTTCTCTGCTCTTGGGGGAAATTTAATGATTCTGGTAAAAAGTGGAGAAGACGTTACAAGCAGGGGCGTAACTTTCGGTCCCGCGAGGCTCGGGTAAAAGGGGCCTAATTTTGAGAGATATTTTTGATTATTTAAATTACTAATACTACTTGTGTTTGCTATTCACTTTTATGAATGGGGCCCGGATAAAAATTTTGCGGGCGGGCCCGCACTCGTGTTATTACGCTACTGATAACAAGAAATAATGAAATAGGCTTATCGTGTGATTGTCAAAGATGACTGAAGTATTTATTTTGTCAGTAGTAAGTATTTTGTCTTTAAGAAAAATAAAATAATATATTGAAACATTTATATAAATTGTCCTCTTTTTTTGTATGAAATGTCCTGCTTTTCCATAACAGAAATATGGTAACCATACTCGATATCTATATAATATTACAAGGACAGTAAGCACTTTCGTCGAAATATTATTTAACATTCCACATATTCCGTAATGTTTCATAACCATTCCAATTGTGGTGAAATATGAGGCCCGCCACCAGCGGAGAAAGTGTCAACTGTGCCTGTTAACAGATGCGTGTTGAGTTCTTCGCCGCACCCTGCCATCTCTTGAGAGGAGCCGCATAACTGATGCGTATACATAGCAGTTCCAACACTGTTTAGAAAGATGAGAGTATTATAAATGCTTCTATCTTGTTTTGTGTATTTAATGTTATCATTAAACACTTTTGGAAGGCCATAGTTAATAGCCTATTTTCTAGTAATATCACAGTTTTATTAAGAAATAAATCAACAATATATTGAAACCATGGTATAATTCTGAGTAAGCAGTTTATCATCACAAATTACCTCTAGTCTGTTAACTTTATTCTATTTTGTGTGATTATTGCTTTTGTTCCTGTAAAATTGTAGCTTTTTGTGTGATTGGCGGGCTAATCTCGGATAAATTTATGTTTTGGTGGCTTTCACTGAAAGGTAGAATTTTTTCCGTTATAAAATAGGGTACTGTTTCAGATCATTATTTTGTATTATATAAAGATGACACGCTTCGTTTTTTTAAGATGAAATTAAAATTTAATAATGGAATGTTGTGCACATGAGCTCCATGGCGAGAAAAACGTTACTGTCTACAAATGATTTCCGAAAATGAAAACCCATATCTTTTCCCCGACTGACAACAGAATTTAGTATTTGCGTATATTTCCAGTTCCCAACGAATGTCTTGAAAATCATGAACGAAACCGTTAAAAAGTTTCCAAAAGCCCATGAAGTGTCATGCACTTTAATTCGTCCCTATAGCGCAGCTAGTCTCGGAATAATGGAAGGTGAACATTGAAAATTAATTCCCCCATGTTGCTAATCTCATACATTTTAAAATTTTATAAAATGTATGTACATGTTACTTTTACTCATATTTCAATTATTTATATTTAAAATGATGGGAACGAATTCGAGAACTCAAGAAAACGTGCGCAGATGATCTCCCATATACATCACATACAGTTTTTACTCTTTTTTGACTAAATAAATGTAAATTGAACCGAGGGGGAGGGAGAGGGGGCTCAAGGGTTAAGCTGACGTCACTGCACTGTCTGACCGTGCGGTCTTAGGTTCCAGTCCCGACATTCGTATTCAGTTTAGCATTTTCGACACTATCTAGATAGCTAGGTCGAATTTAGACAAGGTCTCGAGGAGAATTTTGCGGCCAATTGCTCTGAGTGTTTTTTATTAACACCAGGCAAATGCCGGAGCAGTGTCCTAACGAACGGGCCACGGACCGCGTGAGTCTTTCCTTCTTCTTCCTTGTTTCCTGACCCCTTACATACACACACACATTTACTTACATTTACACGCGCTACGCCAGAACGCGTGTCGGGAGACCGATCGGGAGCTTAGAGCTTGTGCTGGTTGGGGCGGTACCCCTCTGGAGGGGAGATACTTGGTTGGGGAATAAACTGCGATGCGACGGTAGGTCGGTGCTGCATCTCACCCTGCAGCGATCAGCGCCACCTCCCGCGGTACAATATGCACTACAATTACAAGACTAATGTCTTCAGCTGCAGACGCGCCCGGAATCACTAATCAGTCAAGAAAGGAGTGGGGCGAAGATAGCAAGCGGAGTGGGACGGACCGAGAAATTTGAATAAAATTAATTTCATTTTGATAGCACTCGTTTTTAAACAAAGCAGAATCTATTGCTTTTTAAGACAACCAGAAACCCGACTCTTCCAGTACTTTCATTAGCATTTACGAAAGTTTAAAATCATGAATAACTTCACAACGTTTGGTGAGTAGTTGCTCGCATTAGCAGCTGAAATGTGTTTTAAAAATCTCAAAAGTCTACACGTAAACGTATAAAATTTAGTCATAGATATCAAAGATAGTTTTAAAAAGCATTTAAACAAAGTATTTTTTTTAAAACAAAACAAAAAAATAAATTGACGAAAATATTTATTATGAAAGCACATAATACAAGAGGAATAGGTACGTAGCGAATTTGGTATAAATGCATGAAGATGATAATGCACGATGATGGTGATTCATTAGGATGTTAATATCAAATGGTCCAATGGACAAATAAATTCAAAAGAAAATGGAGAACAAATGAACCACGGACACTGGGAGGTACTTGTTGAAGTCGCTGACTACGGCTAAGTGATTTGGACCCAGGCCAAAGTGTTTTAAAACTGGTTTTGTTATTAAGGACGAAATTTGATAGGTCATATAATGTTTGGAATATTCAAGAGGCCAAACGCCCACTGAATACGGCAGACGTCAGTGAAATGCAGAGCCCGTCAATGCACATGGAAAGGTTGTCAGAGGAAGGGCGGCCTTTCAGCTGGTGGTCGAAACGTTTCCGCCGGACTTGTGGTGCAAGAGGAGGTCGTAGGTTCCGACTCTGGAACGGTTCATGACCATTGATGAGGCCGTGAAAGGCTAGCATACGTTACTACTGATCACAACATTAACTGGATGCATAACTGCAAAGCTTTGAAGCGCTGAGAATCGTGACGATTGTCTTTCGTTAAGTTGGCGGGAGTGAACGTCCCATAGACTTTCTTACGAGTTAAACGTTTTTTGTGTATTGTTAGTGATACTTACAATCGTCTCTTTCAACGAAAATGCCAAAGTATTGCGTAGCATTCGGTTGGAAAGAACGCTAACAAACTAAACTGAATGCGAATGTTATTAGTTGAGATAATATTTGGTATCCATTACTTTAATGTTTTTTAGGTTTACGACGAAAATTATTTGCTACAAGTATAGGCCGATCTAACGAAATTATTAAAGATACGCTAAGCAAGAAGCCTCCCCTGCGAGAATGTTAAAAAAGTCTCCAAGAAATGAAAGACTGAATTTGTGTTGAAGTAGTGAAGTTAAATTTCAATTTTAAAGTAGTAAATATTGGTTACTTTCAACTTTTTATTAAGTTTTAGTGAACACAAAAGAGAATAAATGTTAAAAATTGGAATGAGACGTTAATTCTTGCTATTTGGTTCTGAGATTACTAGGACTGAATAGACCTCCATGTTGGCGCTTCGTCACGATTTCAGAGCACAGTGCTGTCTCCAGTCTACACTAGAGCTCACTGGGACACGTAAATACTCCGACACCGCTCGAGGAAGCCATTGTAGCTTACAACGGCGATTCTGATGGATCAGGGAGTGCAAGGCGCTGCGTTAATGTGAACGTTGCAGGTGGGCTACCTGCAAAGAAGTAACCTGCGTGTGCTGAACATTGCAACTGCGCGAGAGCGCAAGGCGGCCGGAATGTTAATAGACTTCGCATAGTAAAAGCGATGCGAGCGTTTGCGGTGACGCTGAGAAATCAGTCTAGTTATTATGAGATTTTGTGCAGAATTTAGTCGAGGTTGAGACCAGGTTGATACGGCGCAAAGGCAACAGCGCAAGCGTTGGTGGGGCTCTCGTTGGTGGGGCACGAAGCATAAAGGCCCGGGCTCGTGGTGCGACACCGGAAGGCACGGGAGAAGAAAGTGTGAGTTGGAGTCGGTGTGGACGTCACGCGACCGGAGGCGCCGATTCGAGAGGTCGCTGGCGGCGACGCCATCAGCCGTCTGCGTTGCGAGGTCAGCGGAGCGGGGAAGTCTTACCCTGAGCGGCGAGACGATCACGGACACCACCAGCCGAGGAGGCTGAAGCAGCGTGCAAGGTAACGGGCGAAAAAGTTACTAACCGAACCTTAAAATGAGAGACGACTTGAATTTTAGTAGACGGAGACCGAAGAATTGCCTGTGGCAGGGAAACAAATAAATACAGTCGAACCTCGAAATCTCAAAGCGTGAAATATTTCTTCGACTAATCAAAAATTAGAGATATCAATGTAATGCTTTCTTTCAATAATATGAAATGTTTTAAATAGGCACGGTTACATATTATCGTTAAATCATAAAATTGATGATCGTTGCTTATATAAGCGTTTGTTATTAAATACTTGAACATTTCATTATTTTTCTTTGAGGTCCAAACATGATTCATCCACTGCATGACGAATTTTGTTTTTCTTTCAAAACCGTTGAAAGCGAAACATCATCCGAATTTATCTGCATTCATCCATTCATACTGAGTGCATCTGCAACACATTTTTTCTTTTTCCCCCTTTCTGAATTTAAATTAAAATCTTTAAAAAAATCGGTAAAGTCCATGATTTTAGCACATGTCGAACTAGTTTTTGACAAAAGATACTGCGTCCCGAAGAGCTAGAGGAAATTATTGCCGAAAGATTAGACAGAGTAGTTCAATTAATATTTTTAATATAGTGAACGTGGTATGAAACATGATTTTTTTTACATTATAGTAGCATCATATAAACGTTCTTAGCGACTCTAATATTTTACATTTTCGAAATTTGATTTAACATTCTTTATATATACAGTACAATGATTCGAATTCTGGATAGCACTACTTTTTCTCGCCTAGTCATTTGTTTATGTAGGTACACTGAGAAGAAATTTGATTGTGTTTTATGATGGTGGCTGTGTTTGTGTTTGGTCCATTTTTGATTCCAGTTAGTCAACATTCTTTTGTTCGTAAATTTTAACGCACGTCCCCGCCCGAAGCACGTCCCCGCCCGAAGCACGTCCCCGCCCGAAGCGGCGTCGGCAACAAGGGAGCCACGTTCAAAAATGTTTGCAGGGCGAGGCGTGGTGTAACAGTACATTGTTAAATGTAGCATGGTGGAATGCATCGTTATGAAACGAAGCATGGTGGAATAGTACACGACGATGAAGTGATGGGTGGTAAAACACGAGTTAAATATGATACGAGCGAGTATCGAAAACTTCACACGAGTGAACTTCACACACCCATTGCATCGAGTTTCAAGCGGTACTTTTTCCACTTATTGTAACCTTTATAAGTTAAACTTTCACATTGAGTCGATCGTGGCAGTTGACATGCAACATTCAGCCTTTGAGCCTTCAGGCTTCGGATACCAGCCCGCCTGTGAGAGTATTGTGCTACTCAAATAAGATAAAAGTTAAATTACGATCCATTATGTTTTAAATAATATTCCACGAAAAATATTAATAAAAAATATATTAAAACTGACAAGCATACTATAATATTAAATGCAATATTAATGTACACAATCCAACGAAAGAATTACTAAATAGGTTCTCAATGATAATTGTCTCAATACGTGGTTTGTGAACTTTTCTGTGATTGTTCAAGGTCTTGTATCATAATGAAATCGGTATCGTAATGAGTATTTTTATGCAAATGGTTGCTGCTATCAAATGACAGAATTATACAATGGGAGTAGAAAAATAGATGGGTCGGCTCTTGCGCTTTGTATCATTCAACCAATGAACTTCTGGCACCAGTGTGTCACAATATTAGCGGGAATTTTTATATTCCAAAATTATCACATCACAAGTCATTGAAACAGATATGGAACGCTTTTTTTATTGCATCTTTTATTTCCTCTACTTGTTCTTTATGCCACTTTCAATATATTCCTCAACACTTCTCGCTATCGATGCAACGTAGCGACCAACATCTAGTCTGGCCTTTGGAACGAAGTGCCCGTGTTGTGGTCACGTGGCTTGTGACGCGAACTGGTGCTGTGCAGATCGAACAAAAATCGGTGCACTGGAGGAGCTCACCCATCCTTTTCCACCGTGACCCGTCCGATGTGGTGACATGACATCGATAACAAAACATCGCAGTTCAAAAATTAAAACATCGACGTAATTAATACATCAGCTTAATATCAAATGTGTGCGCATCAAAAGTCAATATGACACCGGCTATTTTTATTAATTACATTTAATATTAACTGGAATGTAAGTTAAAAAATATAAAGACAAAAAATCCTGAACGCGTCAGCGCACAGGGTCATCTGAAAGTGTCAGTCGTCAGCAGGAGCGCCAGAGAAAACCAAGTGCTTGGTGCTGTGGATCCAAGAGGGACCTTTATATCAAACAAAGAAAAACTCTTCCTCCCCCTATTCATAAACAGAATTCATTCCTCCATGCATCATGAATAGCTTGTAACGCTCAATTTGGATTAGAAATCAACATATATTTTTCATTTGTTTCGAATGAAAAAGATATCCGGGGTCCCAATTTAGTCCGGGCGTGGGGCAAGTTGACGGAACTACCCCCTCTTCTGGACACCCTTGGTCGTCAGTTTGACACATAAGAGAACAGGAAATCGGGGCAGGCCCTACGCCCACGACGCTAGCATCGACCGTATTGTTCTTTAAGTTCATAATATAAGTGTATCAATTTTATATCTACTCACAGTTTGGTTGATCTAAGTATTTGAGAAATGTCTTCTCCAGCACTCTTGCGCAGCACCAACACTACCTTCACTGTTTGTAGGTTGCAAAGTGTTACGCGTAGGGCAAAGTACTTTGTCGTACGCGTACGACAAAGACGTCACAGCCACATAAAACCACTACGAAGTAAACAAAGCATGCAATCACGCCGCCTCACATACTTGTAGATTAATGAACTCAGTAAATCATTTTTGAATGTTTGCATGAATTCGTACTTAAGAATAATGTAACTGCACGTAATAATGTAATTGCACGTAATGAATAATGAAATTTGCACGAAAGTGTCTTTGGCGTACTCGTATCAAAATGCCGGATTCAGCTCTTTTCATCACTTTGTCTGCCAACATTTCCTTTGTATGCCAAAAACTTTCACTATTAGCCTAAATAACTGTATAATTATTATAAAAAATATGTAAACTTGCGACAATATCTCAGGATTGTATTGTATTGTATTGTATTGTATTGGAATTTACTGTTTGTCATGGGATTCCGCTTTCTTTTTCGTTATCTTCATATTGACCTTAGTCGCTACTCACACAAAAAAAATTGAAAATGTAAGACGGTTGTGTAGCCGTCGAAAAAGAAAATAATATTCTGTACTGAAGGGCATTGCTCAATTAGTGTTGTTCTCAGAGTTAAGAATGTAGACCACGGAACAATGGACTACAAGTATAAATTATAAGTATAAACCATATGTACAAAGGTAATAAAGTTCTTTATGTAAGGTATTGTCTTCTTTATTTAATGTACGTGATATAAAAATCAATAAATTTGTTTCTTTGGCATATTTTATTAGTTTATATTTTAATCATTTAGTACAAAAATTAAACAAATCAATTAATTTACTCCTATTACAATTCTAAAAAAATACACTAGAATATTTTCAGTATTTCAAGATTGATGCATTTAAAATGAATTCAAAACGGAAAAAATTGTAAAAGAAGCTTACTTCATTTTAATAAAATTTCTTAGCACATTGTATTTTTTTGCAATATCTGCATCATTAATTAACAAAATTTCCAAACTAATGTCAAATAAATTACAAATCAAAGGGGAAATAATTGCATCTTTTTTTAGGGTGATTAATGTCTGCGATTATGCGAATTTGGAAAGTTCGGCATCCTTCCCATCTTCTTATACGAAAAAAAAATGTTTCTTGGAAAACCAATATTACTAGCAATGATAACACCGAACTCAGAAATCCGGGAAAGAGTTGTTATATTCTTCCTTTCTAGTCAAATACCGCGAATATAAAAAGCAATTTGGAGCAGTTCGGAGCAGTTTGGAGCCCGAAAAATAAAGTCAAGACAAGTCGAGTTCTATCGTTGTCTGAAGGATAATTATAACAGCCAGCTGCTCTGATCGGTAGTTTTCCGTGGTTTCTTCGAACAACATCGGACGAATGCAGAAGCAGTTTCCTAACAAACGGGCCACGGACCTCTTCCTTGTCCTATCTTCACTCCCAACTTACACTCACACGTTACCACACATGACGGGAGATCGGTTGGGAACGTAGAGTTTGTCCCGAGTGAGAGATACCAACGGTGGATTTTCACAAGCCGTCGAGTATAAATGTATTACATAGATGCCAATATACAAAAATTGCGAATGATTTCAATTGCGGTTTCAAGATACCGCTCACCAACTTGACCAAAAATTTATCACTATCAATCAATACAATTTGCAGATACTAGAAATTACCCCTATTCATTTATCGTAAGGAGATGAAATGTGGATAGGACACGCGATTTTGTCGGACATGAGGAAAGTACTAATGTACGATTTTACCTGCACTGAGAGTATCCAAGCATAACTTGCTTTTTATGATGTACTCTATAAAATATCGGAAATTTGAACACAAAATTATCCGCTGCTGTGAGTACAAAAACATCATTTCTGAGATTATGTGCGAAAGCGGTGCCGTCATTCCCTGGCTTGACGGTTCTAAACAAACTTCTTCTAATGGTGAAGTAGAGATTTTCAGCAGAATTAGTTTTCAACAGAATTGTAACAGGTCTTTTAGATAAATATATCTGCACCATGTGAAACACGTCCTGTAGCAACACATCCTGCGGGCGCCATAGCTCACGAGTGAACTAAACACATGGATGAACGTGGCTAAATCTATCATCACTTTAAGTCTAATAAAACATCTGAAAATAAAAGAGCGCTAAATGAGTTATAAAATTACGTAAAACAAAAAAATAGAAATGCAAAGATTCCATATTATTATGTCTTTAAAGCAGTAACGTTTTCAAATCACATTTGAAACACTGAGAACTCTGAATCATGTGCTTCAAATAACGTCATATAAAGCTTTTCGAAAACTCAACCGTTTTCTAACAAACTATTTGTAAATTTCACAACTTCAGAAACGCTCAAACGCCATTATCTCCAAAACAAATCCAATGTTTTTCTTCACATTTTTCGAAAGGTTAGTGTTAATTACACGCTTTAATATGACGTAAAGTTCATTAGGGGGGAGTTTTTTCAATAATTACAATTTAAATTAATTTTTTTAAATATCTCTCACGCAGTTAATATGCAAATTTCCAGTAATTTGTAAACCATCCAGTTCTAAACTAAACAGTATTTGAAAGTTAATGTGTTTCAAATGACTTTACATGTAGTTTTCCTACAACTCACAAATATTCTGTGAGATTTTCTTTTAGCTTCAAATTTCGAATTTGTGCTTAAAAGCCAGTTTTTAAAAAACGGCTTCAGATTTTCAAAGAAAATTGCTATTTACAACGAGGTTTTACTGCTCTTTATTAAATTTAAAAGAATATTTCCACTCTACAATTAGGACCGAACCGAAAACATGAAATTTTAAAAAAAAATTACTTTGGGTGGCGATAGATGACAGCTGTCAAGAGCACGTGGCAAGTCCGAGTAGCTAGCAGAGACCAAGGGACATAGAAAACTAACAGGGAAAGGCTGTGGCATTCTGCGACACCACTATCTATTTTCTAAATACAAACCAACAGTCGAAAACATCTGAAAAAATTAACGATGATTTGAGGAACTTTTGAGATTTTAGGAGACAGTTTCAGTGCAAACAATCAAAATTTTTTTAAATTGAAAATTATTGAGTTCAGTGTCAGACATGCAAAATTATTTTTTTGTTTTTTTCTTTATTTTTTGCGTTTTATTTTTTGCTGAGAAAACATCAGGAATGGTTTTTTCAAATGTTATAAATTATTTTCTTATTTTTCACAATTTTAAAATAAAATCTCGTTAACTTGACAACAAAATTAAAAAAAACAAACATTTTTGACTGTAAATAGGTGTGATTGATCTAGTGACGTTGTGAAACTGTTCATGTGAGAGGTTCATGAACATGGACATGAATGGTTCAACTATAGAGTTCATGTGATTGGGTTTAAGCAAAATTTTTATGTACTCAAATTTTAGAAAAAATGTACATTACTCTATTTCAAAATCATCGCCGCATCAGTCGGAATGATTGGGAAATATCAATTTTGGAGAATGTCGGTAGAGCGGTTGAGACACAAGCGTTGTTCACGTTGCATAAGGTGAAGCAAACGTTGAATTTTTTGTGTGCTGTTTCTAAGCTCTAATATTTTCTTTGACTCTATGAATAGTAGAACAGATAGGAAGAAAATTTGTTTTTCCTTACCAGGGCCCTGCTGAAAGAATTTTTCAATCGAAAATTCGCCGTTTTTTCTGCAGCATCACAATATTCTTTCTATACTGCTTAAGCAGTAGCGAGAAAGTAAAGGAGTATGAATAAATATTCTCATGTTTTTCGTAAATTGTATTATCAATTATTTCACTCAATGCTATCTAAAACAATGAAACTTCTAGTTTTTGTCTTCGTAGTCAACAAACTTAGCGTTAACATTTACTCAGACTGATTACTGAAGTTGCATTAACATATCTCTAACTCGTCGGACTATGAAAACAGCAATAAACACGAGAAAAAAGTTAGAAAACCCCATTACCCTTTACGACCGTCGTTAAAATATTCTCCTTCATTAGCCTCTTTGTCATAATACACTTAAGAAACATGTACGTAAGATTTTCCTTTACTTCAAATTAACAGCGTTATTCATTTTCCGACAAACTCGATTTCATACTCGAGCGACTATGTTTACACATATTTCTAGCAAATTGTATTGGAGGCGTGGTAACTTGTAAAAATGATTAGCGTTCATTGCATGAAAGTTGGCTATCTTGTGTTGGAGCTGTGGTATTCCTTATTATTTTGTTAAATCTACCAATTGAAGAATGTACACGTGAATACAATTTATTTCTGTAGTAACATGCAGAAAAATGAGCAACTCGTATCTTCTACTTTAAAAAAATAGTAATATTTGAATTATTCTTTGGTTAAAAGCTGGCTTACTGCGAGTTTAACTAAAAGCGTAGTGAAAATGAAATGTCAGACTGTATTTGGACCTTATTTGAAAGTCAGAAAATTATTATAAAAAAACTTTTATATCAATGTATTATACGTTATATATAATAACAACAACAACGTTTCAGAAATAAATTATATCCATCTTCAATCTTAATGTCAAAAACAAATAATTAATATAATATTTTAAACAAGGGACCGTTGTATAAATTATTATTTTTAATGATATTAAACAGTGGTTTTATAATCATTTTCTGTCTTTAAAATAAGAGCCAAATACAGTCTAACTAATTTGAAAAGACCATAGACAGAAATGTAAATAATAATCTTGAAAATGCATAGCATGGGCTTTTGATAATCTGCAGTAGTGGGATCTAGAGGTGGCCAGTGTGTTGCGAATTAAGAGGGATGATATGTGTATCCGAACTATCATATGCATTTTACTTCTTCAAAGTATTTCTTGAATGAGGAAAACTTCAGCACGAAAGTACTCGCGATAATCCACGATGCGACCCATTCTAAAAACATTTATCTTTCGTTTAAGCGAGCAAATTCAAAATACTGAATTCGTCCTCAAAAATTACGATGGTGGTATGCACAAGTTAAACGAGTCGATTTATTGCAAGTTCATTTCTTTCTGTAACTTTTCCCGAATTTAACATGCAAGTCTTCCTTTTGTAATTTTTCTGTAAGAGAATACGAGTATACCTCCTAATAATTATCAGCTAAGGGCAAATACTTTCCGCAAAGCGATATAGCCTTCGACGATGGTCAACTATTTTAACTTTCTCCTCGCGGAGTAGAGAGAAAGTTATGTAATGCTGCGCGAAAACGGGGAATTTTCAGCAGAAAAACTCTTATTACAGGGCACTTGTAACGAAAAAGTGGATGAATCCCGTTGCTAAATTCATTAGGACGTCGTTGATGTGTCTGTGACTCTTGGCGATTGAAGCGATAAAATGCTGTTTTATACGGTACATCATTATTACTCGCGCAACTTTTCTTGAACGTTGACCTAGCTTCCCCCTCCCTGGCTCAGTAAACAGTTGAAGGCAAAAGCTCGCAGCAAGCACTGAAAACAACATTCCCAACACATCTTCATTAGCGAGAAATAAAAACAATTTTCTTTTGTAGGCGAGAACTACTATCCGTTATTTTCTTAAAAAATATGTAAAGAAATGACCGATGCACGTACAGATCTATCACAGGAGATACCTCGAACTTTCGAGAAAGTGAGACCGCAAGTTATCGACAATGTTGCGAGGGCATGACTGATTTTCCAGAGTTTGGCATTGCTTAATAAAATCTAGTGGCCGACTTCGTAACTAATACCCCCACTCCACCCGCATTTCTTCAGTTCATCGTTCAAGAAAAGTTGCGCGAGTAATAGAGGGGCTGTGACCTAAAAATTCTTTAAAAATACCTTTGACCTACAAAAGACTTAATAATAAGAGGAAAATTGCCTCTAAAGTAACTCAACAATAAGGGTGAAAATACCTAATTTTCGAAAATGATACACTTAAAAAAATGCATTTATATAGAATTCTATTTAATATATAGTCTTTACTTTAGGAGGGTAAATGTAATTCTTCAATCTGTCAGTTTTGAAACGTTGAGGAATTACTGAAGATCCGTGTAATTTAGAGAGTTCGAAAAACATAGTTCACTGCTGTAGTTACTTTCGTCAAGAACGGATGGTAGAATAAAAAATTTGTTTTAGTGTGACATTGTAAATTACAAACATGACCCAATAAGTAGACTTTTCTTCCGCGTAAGTATACATGTATACTGCAATAAGTATACATGTCGTGATAAACATTCATTTTCATGTTACCTACGTCTAGAATGCACTAATGAAGAGGTAATATTTCGTCAGAATCCGAGCTCTGCTTATTAGTGGGTTACTTTTTGTGCTCAAATAATGACTTCATATAAACGTTCTTGCGACCTGAGGTCTAGTCGGTCACTGCGAGAGATCTGTTCTATACCAAAATCTACAATTACATTAACACTTATATTACAGATTAAATTATTTTTCTATTGTAAAAAAACGTGATTAATCATTACTGTCGCTTGCCCAGTTCGCTCGGCCGAATGCAGTGTTGACGCGCTAGCGCAGGGTGGCGCACCGGGAGGCCGAAGCTGGAAACTGCGAGGGCAGGTGAGAGCCAGGGCGTTCCAGGAAACTCCACAAATGCGATTAAAGCATGTGCCAGAATATCGAAATTTGTATTAAGGCGATAGCAAAACATCAGATATTCTAAAAGTAAAACAAGGATTAAGACAAGAGTGTGGTTTGTCCACATGCCTCTCCAACTTGTACATTACCAAAATTATGGATATATGGAGTTCAACAAATTCAGGAGATATACTGTACATTCGTTCAAATGCAACGAATAGTGGGTTACCTCGGCGCCGAATAGGTAGGGAACAGGCCCGGTGGTGAATTTTGACGTCTGAGTTTTATTTATTTATTTATTTATTTATTTATTTATTTATTTATTTATTTATTTATTTATTTATTTATATTTCAATTACTCCGTGCCTCAAAGCCTGGAGGAAGGTTTCGCGGCCCAGTCAGTGCCGTTCGGCGCATGACCCCGGCCCCTTTCCTTCCCGGTGCACCGGAACCCGGGCGACGGCGCTGTTCCGCTACGTCATCTCGGCGCCGCCCCCTTTCACTTTCTTCTCCTAACGCGGAGCGCCGATGCTGCTTTCCTCGGAGGCGGCGGCGGCGGCGGCGGTGAATGAGCAAAGGAGGCGCTGGCGGCGGCGGCGGCGGCGGCGACGACGACCCACAGCCAGTCGCAGGCGGGCCGCGCGGCGAAAGGGTCTGTGCTGCAGGATGACGCGGGCGACTCGCACGGTGAGAGGTGCCGCCCGGCAGGGCTTCTGGCATTCGCGGGCGCAGGCGGATTTGGGCATCGGACTAAGCAGGTGCTTAGCATCTCGTCCCTTCCCAAGAGCTCTCACCAAAACAATACATAATTTCATTAATGTGAGAAAAAATTAGTAATCTTTAATAAATGATACAAAAAATTAATTAAGATTTTGAAACTTCGATAATACATTTAAAGAAAAAGTACATTATTTCAATTTATACCACACTTTAACTATTTAAACACATCTGTAGGTAGATCACATAGAAATAAAAAGATAAGTCAACGCACTTTTAAAACAGTTGCAAAAATATTTATTAATCGTGAGAGGTTTTCCAAGGGTCCACCTCAAACCTAATGGACTAAAGATAATCTAACATCGCGATAATGGGTCATAAAGTGTTTACATACAAGAGCGATAAATGCATGTCTTGCACAGAACTGTGTTGCAAAAATAGAAATAAAGTTTAATTTTTTAAGTGATGAAAATCAGAAAGTTCTCGTTTCATTTCAAAATCCGCGCTTGTTCGTAAGCTCTCGTTAGTAAGCATTGTAAGAAAAAAATGACGTCTACATTATTATTATTTTAATACTCAATTTTAATATTTTGAAGAGTGTAATAATTATTGTTTCACATACATTTTTACATGTGTTCAATATTTTAATATTATGCGGTTCCAAAATTGGATCATGACTTGGGATTTTAAGACGCCATACATGGCGCTGCAAAGAAGAACACGTTTACAGGAGAACAGAAAAACGTTTCTACGCGAAGAACACTACAAATTATATATTTTTTAAATTTACTCTTGTTATTACTCTCTTTACTCTTGGTAGAAAAATAGGCTATTTTGGAGATTCGTACACTCTTTGACTAGTTTCTAAAATATTAAACAATTTGCATGACGCGTATCTATAAAAAATATTATTTATATCAAGACACATGTTATGAGAATGAATAAGACGGTAGAGAGCACGTGAGTACGTTATTACTCTACATCACATATTTATTTTAAGGTCCTTTTAAATAATCAATATTGCATTACCTCACTACTCTCACTTAATGTGGTAATTAGTCGTAGAAGTCATGAAAACCTTTTGGAATCACCGGAGATATCATTCTTTCTCTGGAACTCTTCATTGAACCACAGTTTCTATATCATCCGTTGATACTTCTATTGTAGAATTCTCACTTCATTTATTTATGGATCTCCAGTATTTCGTTCTGGACGGAGGATTAATTGTTCTGGAAATATTTATTAGAATAATCTTTGAAATAATAAAAAATAGATATTTTACTTTATTAGAAATTTTCTGGCCTTTTGGAAGGTAAATGTCGGCTTTTTAGTTTTCTGTCAATGGCAGCGTGTGCATTGTCATATTCCACGTAACTATGAACTTCCGCAAGGATTTTCGTACGATCTTTACTCCATTCTTAATTGAAAATGAAAATAAAGCATTTGCCATCACTGAATTCATGTTCTGATACACGTATCTATCAGAATTGGAAACTTGGGTTCAAGGCAGTGGGTTCTTTTGTTGGGTTCTTTCAGCCAGTTGATAAGTCAAGAAGCAAAAAACTGAGGCAATAAATTCACCATCTGTTTCATTCCACCAATAATCTGTGGCATGTTGATTAACGTTATGCCTTACGCCCCCAATCAAAGTTTTTATTATTTAATGATTATTAGTTTCATGAGTAACCCGTAACTACTGACATGGATTTATGATACACAATTACAGTCATGTAGTCAAAGATACTCCATTGTAAATCAATTAATTCTTTTTAGAAACCAAACAATTAAAGATTGTAAAAATTACTATTTCTATTAGATCAGTTATTTATTTATAAAAATCAATAGAAACAATATTTTTTACTAAATAGTTCACATTTAAAAAACTGCATTTTACACTTTGATACAATACATTATTTTATTCGCCTTTCAATTCTAACTACGGTATTGACTTAAAACACAAATATATTTTTGCATAGTTAAAGAGACAATAAACGTTGAGAAATAAAATGAACTAAAAACAAAAATATGTTTGTAGAAAATGTGGGTGCTAGGGGTAATTGAGACAGGCATGCAGTCCACGAGCCGCCCCAAAAGGTATGTCACATTCCTCTCCAGTTGAATCCAGCAGATAAGTGGTAGTTGTGACTGTTCAGGAGCGATGAGAAATGAAGGTAGCGAGAACTACAGTACCGCCACACAACGGGAAATGATTGAAATATAACCTTGAAAATTCGTTGCGGTCTCCTTGACCTTATGCCTCTAGTTTCGGGTTAAATTATAGATAGTAATAGAATAACTATTACAACTCACTTTCACAGTGTTACAAAATTCTTGATTTTACACGCTCCCATGACTAATGACTTTTATAAGTAGTCATCATTCCAGCCATCCTCCTTGCCCGTGACTGGAATATTCTGATGTAATTTGAGCTGAAGCATCTCTGAACGTGAAGACAATACATTTACGACTGAAAGAATAATGTAAGATATGTGGCCGTCGTGCACCTACCTCACACTTGTCTTTTATCATGTGTAATTCAAGCCAGGATTGGTATCTAGCCGTCAGCTTCTATCCGCGCCCTCCGCCGACGTACAAGTACGCCAAAGGCTGGTATCTAAGTCCCACTAAAACGCAGTTTCCCCTCTCGGTAACCTCCCCATTCAATGCATGCGTCAGACCGCCCTGCCAGCTCAGAGCTCCTAGCGTTGCAGGCGAGTACCGCAGCCGAAACAATGATGTGGCTGGAACAAGACCCCCTCTACAGCCAGACGACTGCCACGACGAAGCCAACAGCTCATCAGGCAGCCACCCTAACTAAGGGCCGGGCGGCTGGAGTCTCCCTTCCCGCCTCCTCACTGCAATCGCATGTATGCTATCGACGTGAGAACAGCCGGGCATAGGCATTGGCGGTTCATGGTCCCCGTCTGGACTTCTATGTGTGGGATCCGGAGAATTCCGAAGAACGTCCTTCGCCCAGTATCGCCTAAAGGTCGACGTGCCAGGGGTTCAACTGATGGGCAAATCCGGCGACACGGAGCTCAGCATCGCCCACTCACTGCCTCCACTCTGAAGCTAACGACGTGAGTGCCGCCGTGAAACTCAGGGTTTCCGGGGCCTACACCTCTCCACTAGAAGCCATACCCGCCTGCGCGGCCATGACTCCACCCTGCGGGGAATATAAGAAGTTGGAAGCAACTGTTCCATTATTAAAATACCGGGAAGAGGGAAGTTGCAAAGTCATTGTCATTCACGTCGTTGATTGACTGCTTGATTGTTTTAGTGACTTCGGGCACGTCAACTTACTAGACCATTGTTCTCGTAAGTGTAGTGTATATTTGTGCTCGGGAACTGGCGGTGATCTTGCCTTCGCTGTTTGGTGAGATCGTCGGCTAGCGAGGTTTTCTCCAACCAGGTATCTCCCACCAGCAAGACACCGCTCCAGCCGCGACAAGCTCTAAGCTCCCGACCAGTCTCTCGGCATGCGTGGTAGTGCAGTGCGTGTTAGTGTTTGTATAAGGGGAGAGGATAGGAGAAGGAAGATGTAGGAAAGATCGCGCGCGGTCCGTGGCCCGTTTTGTAGGGTACTGCTCCGGCATCCCCCTGGTGTTGATCGGAGAAACTACGCAAAACTGCCGATAAGAGCAGCCGGCTGCTAGAACTCTCCCCCAGACAGCGAGTGAATTCGACATTGCTGACAAACTGGTGTCGAAACTCCTGCCACCGTCGGGACCCGATCCTAGGACCTGCCGGTCAGAGGAACTGCAGTGGCATAAGGTGATGTCCCGAGCCATCACTCTCGGTCATTCACGTCGTATTAATAGGCACAATCAGAGAAAAATCGTACTTTGTATTAGAAACAGGCATGATTCGTGGCATGATGCATTTGCCTCATTCTGATATACGTTATTAGAAAAGCGTATTTCAACTATTTTACAGATAATAATAATAATAATAATAATAATAATAATAATAATTATCTGTCATTATTATTATTATTATTATTATTATTATTATTATTATTATTATTATTATTATTATTAGTACATTCGATCAAATCAAAGATCAATGGAAACAGGACCACGTGTTCATCCTCCCAATAATTATCGCGTGAAAACACGTCAAAGAAAACCTTCAAAAAGTCGATATCCTTCCAAGGCTTTTAAACTTAATGCAGAAGTATGTTATCTTCAACACTTGCCGCATTGTCCGGAACCTCTAAATTCAGATTCCTAAATAAATAGCAAACAACACACTTGGCGAAAAGCACGTGATTAGAGAACCAGGTTTTCCTGTGAACCCCCAATGTGTACACATAAAATAATAATAATAATAATAATAATAATAATAATAATAATAATAATAATTAGTAGTAGTATTATTATTAGCATTAATATAATTACCTGTTACATACGTGTTATTAGATTAATTTATTTAGTGTAAAATTACGCTAAACAACCAATATATTCAAACAATTTTAATCTGACCTCTTTAATGAACTGTTAATTTAGAACAGATTTTATTTACCAAAATATCTTTATCATCAATACTGTACTTTTACAGTGTTAAATTGTTGTTATTTGCAATTATCGAGAACTTTAGATAGTTCAACAAAAATGCGACAGAGCGTCACTTTTTATTTATTTAGTAGGTGATTATTGCATACACAAATTAAATAACGTGATACTACGTGGCTAGGCTGAAGGCCTTTAAGCCATTATAATACCTACATCGTACCTCGTGCTAACCTTTGGAAATCTGGTATCCTCCCTAGATGGTCTCTCCGTTGCAACAAAGCCGCGGGACAGAGACCATAAGGTATGGCTGAGGAAAAAAACTGCTGAAGGGGGAAACCTGCCGTCAGAAGCCGAGTACATGCTAATCTAACGGACTTTTTCTAAGCTATTTATTTCCTGGTTGGGACGTCATGCATTCTCTTTCTCCAGTCTTTGGCCTCCTCATCAATTCAGAGT